TTATATATATATATATATATATATTATATATATATTTATATATATATAATTACACACACACACACACACACACACCCACATTTCAAAAAAATTTTCATTTTCTATTTTTTTTATGATGGTCCCAAGTCATTACCTAGAGGCGAGATGTTAGAGCTTGTCAAATATCCCTTAAATTTTTTTTATTACAATGAGTTTGGTGGCAAATTTAGTGTATCATATAGATGCTTGAGTGGCCTGAATTACCTCTCAACAAACAAGGGAGTAGGTAAATTTTGTGAACCACCTAACAAACTTGTAAATTTATTTCAAAACTACCCAAAGCATTTCAAATTAGGAACCCTAATACAAAGACAACCTAGGTAGTAGGTTGGTAAACAGCATCCGCCCAGGGAGGTAATACCGTCCTGCCAAGCGAGTGTACAATGAAAACCTGTAATTGTTTTACATGATGGTAGGATTGCTGATGTCTTTTGTCTGTCTCATAAACACGCAAGATTTCAGGTATGTCTTGCTACTTCTACTTACACTTAGGTCACACTACACAAACATGTACAAGCATATATATACACACCCCTCTTGGTTTTCTGCTATTTTCTTTCTAGTTCTTGTTCTTGTTTATTTCCTCTTACCTCCATGGGGAAGTGGAACAGAATTCTTCCTCCGTAAGCCATGCGTGTTGTAAGAGGCAACTAAAATGCCAGGGGCAAGGGGCTAGTAACCCCTTCTCCTGTATATATTACTAAATGTAAAAGGAGAAACTTTCGTTTTTCCTTTTGGGCCACCCCGCCTCGGTGGGATACGGCCGGTGTGTTGAAAGAAAGAAGGATTGCTGGTGTCCATTTTTCTGTCTCATAAATATGCAAGGTTTCAGGTATGTCTTGCTACTTCTACTTACACTTAGGTCACACTACACATACATGTACAAGCATATATATATACACACATCCCTCTGGGTTTTGTTCTATTTTCTTTCTAGTTCTTGTTCTTGTTTATTTCCTCTTATCTCCATGGGAAAGTGGAACAGAATTCTTCCTCCGTAAGCCATGCGTGTTGTAAGAGGCGACTAAAATGCCGGGAGCAAGGGGCTAGTAACCCCTTCTCCCGTATAAATTACTAAATTTTTAAGAGAAACTTTCGTTTTTCTTTTTGGGCCACCCTGCCTTGGTGGGATATGGCCGATGTGTTGAAAGAAAGAAGAATACAAAGACAAATCAGATGTACCTGGGATAAGAGTGTGGCCATGTCTTCTTGTTGCTGGCGTATAGAGCACAGTCTTTCACGAACATGTGCATCCAAGACGGTCATAGCTTGTGTTTCCTGCCGATTAAGTTGATCTCTCAACTGTGCAAAATACTGCCTTACACGTGCTCGTGCCTCCTCTGCAGTTCCACCTGTATCAACTTCTACCGACCCACTTTCAGCAGAGGAACCTTCCAGCTGTCTAGCTACACTTTCTAAGAAATCAAACAAAATGCACATTACATGATAAACCGAACAGAAAAAACATATTAAAATATTTTCACAAAATAACAGATTACTACATTAATAACATGATCATCTGAGTATTTTTTTGAGGTCAAAATGAATTTACCATTTCTGCTGTCAGACAGAAATGCTCATTTATTATCAAGACCTAGGCAGTGAAAGGGCTTAACCATTTTAGTGACCATCTGAGCTTTGAGAAAAAGCTAAAATTCTGGACAACTGTGACTAGTTAAGGGGTTCTACATCCAAAGTTTCAACAATGCATTTTCAACAGAGACAATCTAGTATAAAGGATTACCACCCATAGTTTACACAGTTTCTTACACATTACCAGCATCAATTTCTGAATGTTATGTGATGTATCAAGTTAATACATTTTTTTTCTAATTTAGGTTAGGGTCTACCCAGAGTGTGTTCCAAGGGTCAGCTACTCTGTGGCTAAGTCCCAGACCAAGACTCCCAGTGTATTGCCTGATCAACCAGGGGAGAGCCACAAGAACTCCAACACGTGCATCACAGCCCGGTTAATCAGGAACTAACATGAAAAAGTCAGATCACATAAACTTATAAAAATGTATATATTTAACTACAAATAAGCAAACTTAAAAAAAACTAGCAAATGACTGGCAGAGGAGTGTTTCAGGAGATACATAAATGTCAAAATGAGCAAGGTGTGAGGGCCAATTAGGGAATGTGTGAGGTTTGTCTCCTATAGGTGTACTTACTCACTGGCACAGCATTGTACTGAAATGATAACCCTCCTTCCTCCTAGATAAACAAAATAATGCTTCCCAAAATAATGCTACCCAAGGAGATACACAGTCCATCTAGTAGGAAACTTCATCTTTTACAAATGTGGGTATAAAGAGGCATTCTCAACATTTTCTTTCTTTCTTTCAACACACCGGTTATCCCGCTGAGGCAGGGTGGCCCAAAAGGAAAAACGAAAGTTTCTCCTTTTCTTTCTTTCTTTCAACACACCGGCCGTATCCCACCGAGGCGGGGTGGCCCAAAAGGAAAAACGAAAGTTTCTCCTTTTACATTTAGTAATATATACAGGAGAAGAGGTTACTAGCCCCTTGCTCCCGGCATTTTAGTCGCCTCTTACAACACGCATGGCTTACGGAGGAATAATTCTGTTCCACTTCCCCATGGAGATAAGAGGAAATAAACAAGAATAAGAACTAGAAAGAAAATAGAAGAAAACCCAGAGGGGTGTGTATATATGTGCTTGTACATGTATGTGTAGTGTGACCTAAGTGTAAGTAGAAGTAGCAAGACGTACCTGAAACCTTGCATGTTCACGAGACAGAAAAATGGACACCAGCAATCCTACCATCATGTAAAACAATTACAGGCTTTCGTTTTACACTCGCTTGACAGGACGGTAGTACCTCCCTGGGTGGAGTTTCTCCTTTTATATTTAGTAATATATACAGGAGAAGGGGTTACTAGCCCCTTGCTCCTGGCATTTTAGTCACCTCTTACAACACGCATGGCTTATGGAGGAAGAATTCTGTTCCACTTCCCCATGGAGATAAGAGGAAATAAACAAGAACAAGAACTAGCAAGAAAATAGAAGAAAAACCCAGAGGGGCGTGTGTATATATATGCTTTGTACATGCATGTGTATGAGACAGAAAAAAAAAAAAGACACCAGCAATCCTACCATTGTGTAAAACAATTACAGGCTTTCGTTTTACACTCACTTGGCAGGACAGTAGTACCTCCCTGAGCAGTTGCTGTCTACCAACCTACTACCTACAGTATGAAAACATGCAAATATATAACATAAATAGGGCAAAAGCATATATAAATCATATATAAACCTACATTTCTATATCAAAAAGAAAAATTAACCAAAAAACACACTGGAGATACAGTAGATGAAAAAAACTGCAGCTCTGCATTCATCTATATTCATATCATAATGAGTTATAAACAGTGGCCTCGGATTCAGTGCTCAATTCTTCCAGTAACATGCTGAACCAAAGGGTAATGCAGTTTCTCAACAAGATTTTTGTTTTTAACACAAAATATAGTGCACCCATTAGTTAGCCTCAGATCAATTGTTAAGTATCCAAATACCACTGGTTATAAAGAGAATGCTATTATTATGTATCATTTATAATAAAATGTGTTTAACCCTTTGACTGTTTCAGGCCCCTCTCTGAAACTGTCATTCTATGTCGCTCAATTTTTAAAAAAAAAAAAAAATTATTTTTTTCTTATGAAATGATAGAGAATCTTTTCCCGATGGTAATGACACCAAAAGTTCGAAATTTGGTAGAAAACTCATGGAATTATGCTCCCGCGAAGTTAGCGGTCTCGGCAACATATGCGTATCGGCGATTTCGCCGACTTTGAGCCCTATTTTCAGCCAATTCCATTGTTCCAGTTGACCAAACTCATAGCTATTTCTTTAGAACTCCATTTTATCTATCAGCTGAGTACAAGAAACTTCCCATTTACTAATTTGGACTACCCAACATGGTGGTCCGAAATTGGCAATTTGGCCAATTTCACGCAAACTAAAAAAGATGCCAATTTCAAAATAGGGTTCAGAATAAACAAGGTAGACATTCGTGGCACTAAAATAACATATGCTCTGTTCATTAGTCACATCTCTAGGCCCCTCTTATATTATTATTGCTTTCTATTTTGATTTTTTATTCATACAAAAAAATACAAAATTTACTGTTATGCAGACTACTGCATTATTGTAAAAATGGTATAAATAATATCAGTGCACTAGTGAAAGAATATTAGACTCCCCAGTTGATGTGTATTGGACGTGTGGTGTGATTTATTTACTCCTGAACATTGGTAAAAATCGAACATTTCCGCTACTTTGAGCTCAGTTTCAAGGTCGTTTTCATCGTCAAAGTAATGAAAATCAACTCTATTTCTGTAATATGTTTTCCATTTTATCACCTAAGACCATGAAAACGTGAATACAACGATAAATACTATACGAAAATACACCTCAAAGTCGGCGTTTTATTCCAAAAAAACGATCAGTTTTTTTTTCTCTCATTACGCAATGTGTGCTGCAGGATTTTTTTTTATGTGGTGCACACTGACCACACAGACCCATTCTCTCACATGTGGGCCTACCAGCTTTCTCCCGCTTGATTTGAAGCCGCTAGAATTATTGAGTATATATACGTCAGAAACATTGGGTCGTAAGACGTATTTATACGTTGAAAACAGTCAAAGGGTTAATATATATATATATAAAAAAAAAAAAACTTAACCCTTCAGTCATTACAAGGTAAAGCTCTTTATTACTAAGATACTTAACACTGGACATGAAATATTCAAAGGCAAAACACTCATCATTAACAATACTGCACACTTCTCACCTAGTTTATGAGCTGAATCAGTTAATTCTTGAGCTACTCTCTTTATGTGTTGTATGGCTGTATTGATGGTGGAACGGATCCTCTCAGCTTCTTGCTCTAATAATATATGCTGAAAGACACAAAACACTTATAATACTTTTCCAAGACACTTACCAAGCAGTACACTGTTAGAAAAATCTCTTTTTTTTTTATAGAAAATGATGCACATGTCTCTTCTTGTATATGTAATGTCCATGCATGTGATGAGTAAAATTTATAAAGCTCTTGGCTGGGCAAAATGTTGTTGTCACTACAGCTGTAAGTTGCTGTCCGTGTCCATTTCTCATCAACTGGTATTCTGTGTCATTACTGTACCTGCCCAACATGTGTATGTGTGTGTATGTGTCAGTAAAATCTAGATTTACAGTCTGGCTACTGTAGAAGAGAAGAGATAGAGATAAGAAACACTGATTAATACACAGTACAAAGTGTAAGTACACAATGGAAATGAAATTATATTGATACAATGTAGTGTTCATCCAAACCATACCACGGACGGGGATAGAACCCGCAATCAGAGAGTCAAAACTCCAGACCGTCGTGTTAGCCACTGGGCCAGCAAGCCACAATAAGATTCATCCAACTAGGTATATTTCTACACCATAGGAAGGTTAGCATAGGCACCACTGTGACCACAAATGCTAGCATGGCCGTGACAAACTCTAGCTCCAGTCCCCTCAAAGCCGTCAACATGACTCACGAAATTGTAATGACACGATTGCAAACAAACCATACCACAGTGGTGCCCAGCTGGTGGCTAGCTGGCCCAGTGAGTAACTCGACAGTCTGGAGTTTTGAGACTCTCTGATTGAATTTTTATTCAAACCAAAAAATAGAAGATTTACTGTTATGCAATACTGAAATAATTGGATAAATAATATCACCACATTTGTGAATGTAAACCATACCACGGGCGGGATTTGAACCCGCGGTCAGAGTCTCAAAACTCCAGACCGTCGCCCGTGGTATGGTTTGTTTGCAATCGTGTCATTACGATTTCATGAGTTCTTTGTGAATGTGTATTAGACCCACCAGCTGTCATGTATTAGACTTGTGAGGTCATTTGTTTACTCCTGAACATCAGCAAAAATTTAACATTTCTGCTACTTTGAACTCAGTTTCAAGCCATTTCCAGTATTAAAACCAATCAAAATCATCTCTATTTCTGTAGTACAGTGGACCCCCGGTTCGCGATATTAATCCGTTCCTGAGAGCTCATCGTAAACCAAAATTATCGGAAAGCGAATCAATTTTCCCCATAAGAAATAATGGAAATCAAATTAATCCGTGCAAGACACCCAAAAGTATGAAAAAAAAAACTTTTACCACATGAAATATTAAGTTTAATGCAACAGAATAATTACAATAACAATAGAATAATTGACACTTACCTTTAATGAAGATCTGGTGATGATTGATGAGATGGGAGGAGGGGAGAGTGTTGAACCTATTGTTTAGAAGGGGAATCCCCCTCCATTAGGACTTGAGGTAGCAAGTCCTTTTCCGGGGTTACTTCCCTTCTTTTAATGCCACTAGGACCAGCTTGAGAGTCACTGGATTTCTGTCACACAACATATCTGTTCATAGAGGCCTGTACCTCTTGTTCCTTTATGACTTTCCTAGAGTAGTTCACAACATTGTCAGTGTAATAGTCACCAGCACGGCTTGCAATAGCTGTGTTAGGGTGATTTTCATCCATAAAGGTTTGCAGTTCAACCCACTGTGCACACATTTCCTTAATTTTTGAAGTAGGCACAATGGATTCCACAACTGGCATAGGCTTCTCAGGGTTAGCCCCAAACCCTTCAAAATCTCTCTTATTAATTTCCATACTAATTCTCAACCTTTTTACCACAGGGTTGGCACTAGAAGCTTTCTTGGGGCCCATGGTGACTTATTTTGTAGAAACAAGCACCAAAAACAGTGATAATATGGATAATATGGAATGTACCGAATGTATCCTCAGTTGCGCGCACACTGGCTGGCTTGTAAACACTGGCACACACGGGGCAGTTCAGGCCACACGTGGACATGTCTTGTATGAATCGTATCGCATACCGGGTGTTGTAACGGAAACCGAGGCAAATTTTTTGCAATATAATGCATCGGATACCGGATTTATCAGATACCGATAGCATCGTGAACCGGGGGTCCACTGTATATCTTCTATTCAATCAAATGAGACCAAGAAATTGCAAATACAACTATAAAAAACATGAAAACACTGCAAAGTCGCTGTTTTAATCGAAAATTATGGTCTCGGTTTTTTTCTCTCATTATGCACTGTGCTGCAGGACTTGTTTTATGTGGTGCACACATACCATATAGACGTATTCTCGCATATCTAGGCCCAAATTTACTGCTCACAGCTTATCAGAGTGAGCTGAGCTCATGGCGTAGATCTACGGTTTGGACCCTGAAAGGGTTAATTGTGACGAAACAAGCTCTTTTGGAAGAAAATGCCGAAGAGGACCTACATCACGCAGGAGGAAAAGGCACTCCCAGTACACAAGCCTATGAAAGACAGGCTAACTCTCTTGTTGGGTGGTAATGCTAGTGGGGATTTCAAAGTGAAGCAATTACTTATGTATCACTCTGAAAATCTCAGTGTGTTCAAGAAAAGCAGTGTTGTTAAGAGTAAATTGTGTGTGATGTGGAAGGCAAACAGTAGGGCATGGGTCACAAGGGAAATTTTCCTGGAATGGTTTAATGAAGTGTTTGGCCCCAGTGTGAAAAAATACCTCCTGGATAAGAAACTGCCACTCCAGTGCCTCCTGTTAATGGACAATGCTCCTGATCATCCTCCAGACTTGGAAGACCAATTGTCTAAGGAATTCAGTTTTGTAACAGTGAAGTTTTTGCCTAACACCACTCCTCTCCTCCAGCCCAAGGACCACCAAATCATTGCAAACTTCAAAAAACTGTACACCAAAGCAATGTTTCAAAGGTGCTTTGATATAACCTCGGACTCTGAATTGACCTTAAGAGAATTCTGGAAGAATCACTTCAATATCTTCCACTGCATAGGCCTTATAGATAAGGCTTGGCAGAGAGTGACTTCCAGGATGATGAACTCTGCTTGGAGAAAACTGTGGCCAGATTGTGTCCAAAAGAAGGATTTTGAAAGGTTTGAGGTTGACCCTGTCGACTCTACACCCGTTGTGCAATCAACTGTGGCATTGGGGAATTCCTTGGGGTTGGATGTGAGTTTGGAGGATGTGGAAGAGTTGGAGGAGGACCACAATGAAGAGCTAACCACTGATGAGCTGCAAGAGCTTCATCTGCAACAGTAACAGATGACAGCTGAGGAAATTGCTTCAAAGGAAGAGGAAGAGAGATGGAAGAAGGTGCCTTCTTCAAAGATTAAGGAGATTTGTGCAGTGTGGACTAAAGTGCATTTCATTTGTGGAGCAACATCACCCTGAGAAAGCTGTTGAAATCCATGCTGGTGGCTTTTACAATGACAATGCCACGTCCCATTTTAGGCAAATATCTGTCCAGACCTATCTGGACAGATATTTTATGTGACAGAGGTCCAGTGATTCTCAAGCTGGTCCTAGTGGCAGTAAAAAACAAAAGAGGGAAGTGACCCCAGATAACGACTTGGTTCTTAGAGTCCTTATGGAAGAGGATTCCCCTTCCAAACAATAACCTATCTTCCCTCTCCCTTCCTCCCTGCCTTCCTTCCAGCAACAACAGCCTTCAAAAAAGGTAAGTGTCATGTTTAATGTTCATTCTTTTGTGCATGTAAATGTATATTTAAGGTAAAAAATTTTTTTTGTTAATACTTCTGGGTGTCTGGAACAGATTAATTCCATTTACATTATTTATGGGGAAAATGGTTTTGGTTTTGGCCGATGGCTCTGGAACGGATTAAACACGAAAACCAAGGATCCACTGTGCTTTTAACCCTTAAACGGTCCAAAGAGATTGACATTCAAATTCGTAGTGCTACAAAAGTAGATCTACTTTTTTTTACATATTTTCAAATATAACAAAAAAAAAATGTAGATAAAAGCTTTTTTTACACGTTTTCAAATGTAAAACAAAAAAGAAGATCTACATTTTTTTTACATACTTTCAGATGTTGAAAAAACGTATATATACGTTTGGACCATTTAAGGGTTAAATACAGTGGACCCCCGGGTTTACGATATTATTTCATTCCAGAAGTATGTTCAGGTGCCAGTACTGACTGAATTTGTTCCCATAAGGAATACTGTGAATTAGATTAGTCCATTTCGGACCCCCAAACATACACGTACAAACGCACTTACATAAATACACTTACATAATTGGTCGCATTGGGAGCTGATCGTAAAGCGGGGGTCCAATGTATTTATACAATAGTGTACTGTATATTGTAATAAACAGAATAGAAGAAATCAGCTCTAATATATATTATTTTGGTATGCATACTGGTCAGAGAGCCCGTCGTAAGTCTGAGCGTCGGTAAACGAGTATGTCACTGAGCGAGGAGAGGCTAACTCTTTCTCTTAAAGGAATACAGTACCTTATGTTTTGTATGCTTGTAATCTTTGCAGATGAAACACATTAATGGAGCTGACTGACAGCCTTCTTCTAAACACACAAATTCAACTGGATGAAAAGAATGGTCAGCACATCTTGGCTTCTCACGAGGTTTTTCTGAAAGGAAAAAAAGTATTGTATATGCACTGTACTTACCCTATGCCTTCTACCTTGCCTCTTCTTGCTAAGGTCTTTCCTCTTCGCTGTTCCTCAGATTTCTCTAAAATCCTACATCTGTCTTTCTCCTCCACCTTAGTTTTTTCCTCCCCTTTTATCAATGCAGGAGTAATTTTCAATGAAACCAAAACTTGTACAGTATAAACTGTCCTCTGCAACCTAACAAATAATAACAAGGGCTAGCATCATAAAATATCTTACAAAAGAAACATTTTGCATACTAAGATTCACTGATAAGGAATGACAATGAGCACAAGCATAGGTCAATGAATTCTCAAGATGAATCCAATCATGATGAAACTTGGATTCATAAAAAAAAAATGAGCCAAGGGCCACTAACCCACAGCCCTGAGTTCATGAAAGTCATTAATTAAATGTGTGGGGGCTCTCAAGATACATCAGACTTCAGCAATCAGGTTAATTTTGAATTAGGGATGATATATGATGATCAAGACAGTCAATAATGATGTTTATCATATTTTAGCTTATTCATTTACTGCTGATGTATACTATTGATATATATATTTTTAACACACTGGTCATCTCCTGCCAAGGTAGTGACAAAAAAAAAAAGAAATGCATTGAAATGCACAGAGAACTCAACTCAAATGACCCTGAACTGCAATATCCCCATCCCTCCATCAGAGTGCAAGCACTGCACTTCCTACCTACAGTCCCTTAGTTCAGCTAACCAGTTACCTTGAATTCTTTCATGTTACCTTGCTCACACTCCATTTTTTTTTTTTTTTTCAACAAGTCGGCCGTCTCCCACTGAGGCAGGGTGACCCAAAAAAGAAAGAAAATCCCCAAAAAGAAAATACTTTCATCATCATTCAACACTTTCACCACACTCGCACATTATCACTGTTTTGCAGAGGTGCTCAGAATACAACAGTTTAGAAGCATACACATATAAAGATACACAACATATCCCTCCAAACTGCCAATATCCCAAACCCCTCCTTTAAAGTGCAGGCATTGTACTTCCCATTTCCAGGACTCAAGTCAGACTATATGAAAATAACCGGTTTCCCTGAATCCCTTCACTAAATATTACCCTGCTCGCACTCCAACAGATCATCAGGTCCCAAGTACCATTCATCTCCATTCACTCCTACCTAACACGCTTACGCACGCTTGCTGGAAGTCCAAGCCCCTTGCCCACAAAACCTCCTTTACCCCCTCTCTCCAACCCTTTCGAGGACGACCCCTACCCCGCCTTCCTTCCCCTATAGATTTATATGCTTTCCATGTCATTTTACTTTGATCCATTCTCTCTAAATGACCAAACCACCTCAGCAACCCCTCTTCTGCCCTCTGACTAATACTTTTATTAACTCCACACCTTTTCCTAATTTCCACACTCCATGAGCAAGTTAAATCCTAAACACTACTTGTCCAAAGCACTCACATTTACCTGTAGGATGCTCAAGCTCCTACCACGTAATTACAATCTAAAATTCACACCCTCCTTGGTTGACTCCTGCCCCTCCTTCCTTCCACCTTGGATTTACACACAGAATTAAATACTGTACCTTCAATTGCATTTTTCTTTATATTATTTGAAGTGTCATTTCTTTAAAAAACCTTAACCTTAATGTGGACCATATAAACAAATATGAAAGTAGGTGACACCTGCTTTAGGCCATGAGGAATTTATGACAGGCATAAATTTTATATTTAAAAAACTGGCCAAGTGCCTTCCAAGATGACTTTCACTCCAGTGGTTGTCATCCTTGTTAATAACATGTGTTCTGCCAGTACATAATTAACAAACAAAAACCGAGCATACATACATATAAATTTGTTACAGCATATTATAAATATTATGTGATTTTAAATACAAAGCTTAAATGTTTAGGAACTTACTAACCAGATAATGGGATGCGTTTATGTTTGTGAAGAGTTTTGGTAGCATGGGTACGCTCAGAGCACTCGAGGCATAGGTGAGATGCACACACTGTACAGTAGAGGACTGCTAAGTGCTCTTCATCCTCATCACAAGATATACCGAGCTGTGTAAATATGAGGAATTTATGATGAATGGATTAAGGATTTATTAAATACGTATTAAAGAGGATTAGTGTTACACTGTGAACATTTACAGTTTCTTTAATCATTTCAAGGTTATACAAACAAGACGACGAATAAGACGTATGTGCAACACCTTGAGAGATGTTTCACCAACCAGAAGCTTTGTGAATCTAATACAGACATGAGAATGGAGGCTTTTATAATATAGCCAGTGGAAAAAGTGAAGCAATACAACAGTAAAAGACATGGTCACACGTGGGTGGGGCCCACTAGTGGAAGTGGGTCAAGCCCATCTAGATTCTATAACTATTTAGAAATCAAATTGTAGAATCTTATTATCCACACCAATATTTCATAACATCGCTGTGTCAGACAAGTATCATTGGATCAAAGGTATACAATACTGACAGGATGATGAATAACCAATATCATTAAATCTTGGCTACAGAGAATACAAAATTCTACAACTCTATTGCTAAATCTCTGTCTCACCCAATGGGTCTAACATACTTTCCATTAGCAGGAACTGTCTACATGTGACCACATCTACTACTGCTGCATTGCTTAACATTATCCACTGGTACTGCATGACTTCGTTTGTATATAGCCTCTAGTGGGCGACTTTTCTCAATAAGGATACCCAGGTACTGCACATGTCTTAGTCATCCATATGATTAATCTTACTGGTGATGGCTGAAATACATGCTGTATTAAATTTCAGAAAATTTAAAGAATTCATCAACCTTGATCTTCATTCTTGAGTTTCAAGCAGATACTCTAAATTATCATACTATATTTCACTTATTGGCTATTTGGAGTGACATCAAAACTGTCATATCTGAGCACCTCTGCAAAGAAGCAATTATTTGTAAATGATGGTTAAAGTGTTTCTTTCTTTTTTGGGTCACCCTGCCTCAGTGGGAGACTGCTGACATGTTGAGAATAACAAATCACTTTTTATACTACTGTGCATAAAAGATACATGCAAGTTCATAAAAGATAAGAGGAAAAAAGCAGATTTTCATGGCACTATCAACAGGGAGAAGAGGCGACAATTTCAAATGGAGAAAAAATGGTATAAAAATGGCAGTAAAATAGCAGTTGGCATGGGATCTATACAGTACAGTAACTTTGTCTGAAATTAATCCTTAACTACACTTTCATGAAGAGAATAAAACCCTGTTAAATGTGTGGCTAATGCAGTCCTAGAAAATGGGTTAAAGTTAATATTCATTTGCTTTTGATGTTTTATATTGACTTTATATATCTGTAATCAACCCACAAAATCATCATCATTCAACAAACTGGCCATATCCCACCAAAGCAGGGTGGCCCAAAAAGAAAAACAATTTCTCTTTTTAACTTTAGTAATATATATACAGGACAAGGGGTTCCTAGCCTCTTGCTCCCGGCATTTTAGCTGCCTCCCACAACACGCATGTCTTCTGGAGGAAGAATTCTGTTCCACTTCTCCATGGAGATAAGAGGAAATAAACAAAGACAAGAACTAGTAAGAAAAATAGAAGAAAATCCAGAGGCGTATGTATATGTATGCTTGTACATGCATGTGTAGTGTGACCTAAGTGTAAGTAGAAGTAGCAAGACATACCTGAAGCCTTGCATGTTTATGAGATAGAAAAAGACACCAGCAATCCTACCATTGTGTAAAACAATTACAGGTTTCCATTTTACATTCACATGGCAGGACAGTAGTACCTCCATGGGCAGTTACTCTCTACCTCTCTACCTTGGCTGTTTTTAACGTAGATCTATGTTGACGTGCGTAACGCTCAAAACGTAGATCTATGTTTTTTTTACATGCTTTCAAATGGAGAAAATAAAGGTCAGAGCACTACGCACGTGAATGTAGATCTACGATTGGACAGTTTAAGGGTTAATTATCTTTATTAAAATAAATAATGATATCCCTGCTTAGGATATTATATTATTCTGCATCATGTGTGTACAAAATGAGAGAATCAAGAATATTCTTATTTTCTTTTAAATATGACTAAAAGTAATACAGTGGACCCTCGGTTATCGGCCGTAATCCGTTCCAGAAGGCCGGCCTAAAACTGAAATAGCCGATAACCGAAATAAATATTCCCATAAGAAGTAATGTAAATACAATTAATCCGTTCCAGACACCCAAAAATATTCACAAAAAAATACATTTTTTAGATTAATTATAGTTTTACATACACAAAACAATGAGAACTAAATAAAATAAATACATGAACAATTAAATCAATATTACATGCCTTTACTGAAGACTGTTGTTGGCTCATGGAAGACAGGGAGGACGAGAGAGGGAGGAGAGTTTATTGTTTGGAAGGGGAATCCCCCTTCATAAGGACTTCAGGTATCAAAGCCCTATCTGGGGTTACTTCCCTTACTTTGTCATTTAATGCCACTAGGACCAGCTTGAGAGTCACTGGACCCCTGTCGCACAAAATATCTGTCAAGAGAGCTCTGTTTCTGGCGTCTCTAAGATTTCCCTGAAGTGGGACAAGGTTCTGTCACTGAACCTGTTGCAGATGTAGCTTGTTTCAGCTTGGTCAGGGTGAAATTTCTCAGCAAAATCTTGCACCCTAGTTCACACTGCACAAATCTCCTTAATCTCTGAAGAAGGCGCCCCTTCACTCCCTCTTCCTCCTCCTCTGAGGCAAGTTCCTGAGCTGTGGTCTTTTGCTGCTCCAGATGAAGCTCTTGCAGCTCTTCAGTGGTTAGCTCTTCTCTGTGGTCCTCCACCAACTCTTCCACATCCTCACCACTAACCTTCAACCCCATGGACTTGCCCAGAGATACAATGGATTCCACAACAGGCATAGGGTCCTCAGGGTCAGCCCAAACCTTTCAGAATCCCTCTCTTGGACACATTTTGGCCACAATTTTCTCCAAGCAGAGTTCAAAGTCCTGGAAGTCACTCCCTACCAAGCCTTACCTAAAAGGCTTATGAAATGGAGGATACTGAAGCGATTCCTCCAGAACTCTCTTAGGGTCAAATCTGTGTCCAAGGTCACTTCAAAGCATTTTTGAAACACTGCTTTGGTGTACAGTATTTTGAAGTTAGAAATTACCTGCTGGTCCATGGGTTGGATGAAAGGAGTGGTGTTAGGAGGCAAGAACTTCACTGGGACAAAACAGAATTCCACAGACAATAGGTCTACGAAGTTTGGAGGGTGAGCAGGAGCATTGTCCAGTACCAAGAGGCACCTGAGTGGCAACTTATGTTCCAGGAGGTATTTTTTCACACTCTGGCCAAACACATCAATCACCCACTCTTTGAAAATTTGCCTTGTGACCCATGCATTATTGTTAGCCCTTCATATCACACACAATTTACTCTTGAAAACATTGTGTTTCTTGAACACTGGGATTTTCAGAGTGATACACCAGTAAAGGCTTCATTTTGATATCCCCAGTAGCATTAGCACAGAACAAAAGAGTAAGCCTGTCTTTCATAGGCTTGTGTCCAGGTAGTGCCTTTTCTGCCTGCATAATACAGGCCCTCTTTGGCATTTTCTTCCAAAACAGGCCTTTTTCATCATAAGTGAAAGCTTGGGTGAGGAATCCTTTAGCCTCTACATACCCCTTGAAATCTTGCACAATTTTTCAGCTGCACATTTATCAGAACTTGCAATGTCTCCATGCCTTACCACACCATCTGCCACTATGCTTCTTAAATCTTTCAAACTTGCCTTTGCTGGCCCTAAATTCACTAACAATAGCACTTGTTCCAGGCATTTTATTTTCAAGAACTGCATACAACTGCTTTGCCTTCTCACAAATCACTGACTCCACAACACTTTCTCCCGCTAATTGCTTTTCCCTGATCCACAACAATAACTTTTCCATATCTTCCATTATTGGTGACCTTTGTTTCATTATCACATTTACTCCTTTTGCAACATCAGCTTCCTTGATTTGTTCTTTCTTTGCCAGGATGGAAGTGATGGTAGATTTGTTTTTCCCATACATCCTGGCAAGTTCCAACACTCGCATACCACTCAAATTTTTCAATCACTTCTCTCTTAAATTCCATCATGTTTCTCATTTTTTTACCACAGGAACTTTACTAGGAACTTTCTTTGGGGCCATGCTTACTTATTTCGCAGTTGCACTTAATAAATAACAAAGAAAAACACTGATTTATAGCAAAATGTTTGGATAAAAGAGCAAAAGCTTCCTCACTGATCGATAAGCATCCAATACAGGCAATAAGCAAACTAATGGCCGATAACCAGAAGCTGAAAAACCGACCGATAAGCGAGTTGGCCAATAAGCGGAATGGCCAATAACCGAGGGTTCACTGTACCTTCAGCATAAAAGACTAAACATGTACAGCAGTAATTCACATTTGTAAAAAAACAGTTTATCACATAGCAACTATTAAAAAAAAAAAAAAAAAAAAGACAAAATTAACTTTCAAAAATTACTGTAATTTTGCGAGTCCCCAGAGCTACATTTAATATTTTTTCCTCAAAATTAGATGTAAACGTGAGAAAATAATGATACAGTGGAACCTCAAATTTCGAACTTAATCCATTCCAGGAGCTAGTTCTAAATTCGAAAAGTCTGAAATTCGAAGCATTATTTCCCATAAGAAATAATGGAAATACAATTAATCCGTTCCAGAAACCCAAAAATATTCACAAAAAAATACATTTTATAGAGATTAATTACAGTTTTACATACACACAACAAATGTTATAGTCTTTAATTATGTATAGTAATATAAAATAACATTTTTACTTACCTTTATTGAAGATTGGTGATGGCATTTGGAAGATAGGGAGGAGGAGAGAGGGAGTTGAGGTTATTGTTTGGAAGGAGAATTCCCCTCCATGAGGACTTCCGGTATCAAAGCCCTCTCTGGGGTTGCTTCCCTTCTCTGTATTTTAATGCCACTAGGACCAGCTTGAGAGTCATTGGACCCCAGTCTCACAAAATAACTGTCTACAGTCCTCTGTTTCTGCCTCACAAAATAACTGTCCACAGTCGTCTGTCTCACAAAATAACTGTCCACAGTCGTCTGTTTCTGTCTCACAAAATAACTGTCCACAATCGTCTGTCTCACAAAATAACTCCACAGTCGTCTGTTTCTCTCTCACAAAATAACTGTCCACAGTCCTCTGTACATCCTGGCAAGCTCAACAAGTCTCACTCCAATCTCATACTTCTGTATTATTTCCTTCTTCACATCTATGGTGTTTCTCACTTGCTTTACCACAGGGGTACCGCTAACAAGTTTCTTTGGGCCCATGGCAGCTTATTTCACAGCCCCACAAACACTGAACACAATTAAATAATCGTAAAATGTGTGAATGAGATCGCAGGTTAGTGTTCACTCAAGCATAAACAAAGCTAGACTGCTCACGGCGCCTGCGCAGGGACGCGGACAGAGTGGGCCAGTGGACAGGTCCCGTACCCGGCGGTCCAAAAATAGGGGCGCGTTCGATAATAGGGGCACAGTTTGTCCGAAAAAATGGTCTTATTTTCGAAACGTTCGATATGTGATTCGTTCGATTTGAGAGGTTCCACTGTACAACATAATATATATCTAGTGTATATGAAAGAGCCTAGTAAACCAGTGACAATGAATGCCTACCTCTCGCTGCTTTACGAGTACTTCAGGCAGGAGCACAGCATCAGACCGGGATAAGGAAAGTCTCTCCAATAGTTCCAGAAGAGCAAAATTTTTCTTTAGGCCCCATACACCTGACACACCTTGAAGAGCAAGAAGACAGACTTTCTTTCACATGAGATACAATTAATAATTTCAGTCAAAAGAAGGTAATGAGAGAATATAGGCATAATTTATTATTAATTCGCCTATTAAACTTTTACAATTATAAATTTGAAAAATAATCACAATGAATTCTTTAAAACAGACAAAAATAGAATACAGTAATGCTGATACAGTAAAATTACACAGTTGTATTTAGATATGAAAGACAGGGTTAACCACAGAATTGATGAAGGAAAAAAGGCGAGTGGTGCATTGAGGTGTCTGCGAAGACAAAAAAAAAAAAAGTTATCCATGGAAGCAAAGAATGGAATGTACAAGAGTATGGTGGTACTAACACTCTTATATGGGTGTGAAGCATGGGTTGTGAATGCTGCAGCGAGAAGGGGGCTGGAAGCAGTGGAGATGTCATGTCTAAGGGCAATGTGTGGTGCAAATACAACTTCTCCTCACTTAATCCCTTAGCTGTCCAAACGTATATCTACGTTTTTACTGCTAACACTCCAAACATAGATCTACGTTTTATTTTTCCTGCCTCCAAATTTGGCACAATTGGCCTGAGATGCCTGGTCAGCATAGAATGGGTCCTAACACTCGGAGTGTGCAGTATTAAAAAAAATTTGAGACCACTTAGTACCTTGAGGGGGCACCAGCTAGAGCACAGCATGGCAAACACCAAGGATTCACTGATGTCATGTCATATTAACACTCCCCTTTTAAGAGGAAAGTGATGCTGACCCCGAGTTTAGTGGCCTTGAGGTGGATGTGGCCACAAGTATTCACGGAAATATAAAAAAACCTTGATAATAACCATGTGCAACATTTGTGTAACACCCTTTCAGTTTTGGTACCATTAATAGTGTCATTCTGCTAGAATGTCCTATAACCTGTAACGTGTAATACGGGTTCGACAGGCTGGCTGGCTTGCTGGCGGTTGTCTCTATCTCTGTCTGTCTGTCTGTCTGTCTGTCTGTATCTATCTCTGTCTCTCTATCTCTTTCTGTCTCTATCTCTGTCTGTTTATCCATCTCACAGGTACACATATATAAATACAATTATAGTGTAAATTACCTAGAATAACCCCCAAAAAATCCTGACAAAGTGCTATACTGTGCTTGTAGATAATATAGTGCATAATAAGCATGACTGGCAATGGGCAAGTAATATGCATTTTCACTTGTTCAGGAATCAGATGTGATCATGTGTAATACCAGTTGATTCATGAGCAACTCTCTGAGACAAGAGAGACAAGCAGACAGACAGACAGACAGACAGACAGACAGACAGACACACAGACAGACACACACACACACACACACACACACACACACACACACACAGGCAGACAGGTAGGCAGATAAGCAGACATAGCTAGATAGACATACAGACATGTTTGTGTGTAACAGTGAAAACAAATAAAGCCAGGGTTCCATGCAGCAGCACACAATAATCAAGTGTCACTCCACTGCTTAGTCTGTCAGCAGTTTAATAACATTTGTCTTAACACCATGCTCCAAAGAGTTTCATATATACTCCAGCGTGTCTAAAACATTGCAGGGTCCTAAAAATACTTCGTATGTATTCCTAGACAATAGTAAATGACCAGAGAAGGTGTAAATGTTCACCTGTCAGTGTGTTTGTGACAACTTGAGTACTATTTCAGTACCTAATATTAGTGTCAGAACAAAGATTGGCTATGAAATCACAAGAACTACTATAAATTGTAATTATCAGAACAAAAATTATACAAAATGTAAAAATGAGAAAAAAAGGCATATCAGCAACACTTCTGCAAGCGGCATGACTCCACGTTGCCATCAGGTGAGCATCCAGTGCCAACTTCACAGTATTATATGTATCTCGGTAACTACTGATCCTAAAAAAAAAAAAAAATTTTTTTTGTCTTATTGCACACAGAAAATTTCCCTCTTTAATTTAAAAAAAAAAAAAAAAAAATGGAGCGCTGGGAGAGCGAATGTAGATCTACGTTTGGACATTTAAGGGGTTAACAACAGAGTTCTGCTCCTAAGATCACATTGGTAAACGAATTCATTGCTAAATGAGGAGCATACTATAATGGCAGTGGGTTTGTCTCAACCATTTTTTAATGTTTTAATATCACCTTTACACCATTTATAATATTTCTGGTATATTTTTAAATGCTTATACCAGGGCTACTTAACTATTAACAAATCCGAGTACAGGGTAGTGTACTCATCATTTTCTATGAACTTCATTTTCAGTCCTCATTATAAAAATTTACAAAATATATTATAAAAATTTACAAAATATGAAGATAAATAGTGGGAAAAAATAATTGTTACATTATATCGAACAAGTTTTGGATTTTTTTACTTAAACTGGTTTAGAGTTTTCAAACTGAAAAATTAACATACTCATTAACAGAATGTTATACAGGGTGGGCCAAAAGTAGGCTTACATTTGTTTCACTATTTGTTCATGTTTTCAATTTAATTTGTCCAAACCATTATTCCATATCCCTTATTTACATTTTGGAAATATTATTAAGCTTAGGTGCAAGAGTTAAGTGCATACCTACTAAGTGTAAGCCTACTTTTGGCCCACCCTGTAAAATAAAAATTACACTACAACAGGATCTGAAGTTTCATTTAAAAAAAAAATTCTGAATTTTAACATGGAAAGATCAACAACACTGGTGTAATCTGTGTGTGATTGTAGGTAAGTTGTCTTTGTATCATGTATGTGTGCCTGTGTCCTGTTTTTCTGTTATGCTAGTTTAGTGAGAGAAATGACACTTCTTGCTTTGTGTTATTCCTGAAATCTTGGTATTAATGGAGTAATAGCTAGTTGAAGACAGTGGTGGAGGTGTTTGCTGGTCATACAGGAGTGGAACTTGTTCTTCACAAAGTTCGTAGTTCAGAACCTGGAGTGCTAAATCTGTGAAGTGTGGGAAAATTCGCAGGGGATCCTTCCTTTGACCAAAATGTTTCTGATGCATAATCACAGAATTCTTGTTTCAGCGTCACATTCTCTTGGAAGTCAATGAATTCCAGTTGAATTTTTGTAGCATCTACCCATTTGAAGGCTTGTTTTGCTTCAACTGAGAATTCTTTGATATTCACCACAAGATAGGTGTTTTGAACGAACACCAGCAACTGTTTTCCAAGAACAAAGTCATCAAATCGTAACTTGAAATTTTTGATCAGCTTCTAAATGAAACAGACATATTTAGTATCTGTTTTATCATTATGTTGCTCCAAAAGTTTGGGGAAATGTAAAAGTTGGCTCTGAACATTACTAGAGAAAAGTTCCAATTTGCTCTGGAAAGCTCAAGTAGAGATCATGTTGAAGACAGTGTGTTTTTCCCCTTGGAGTTAAATGTTAAGATCATTCAGATGCGACATGTCTGCCAAAAATCCAACACTTCACTTTCTTGTCAGCTTCCACAAAATCAGAAAACGTCTTTGCTTTCACAAAGCTTTGATCCTTGAGGAAAGTAACTCTTTCCCGATTGCCCAAAATCACTCCAAAACCCTTCCCTCACTCAACCATCTTACATTGTTGTGCACAAGCAAATCGTCATAGCATGAAACCATACCACGGGCGGGATTTGAACCCCCAGTCAGAGAGTCCCGAAACTCCAGACCGTCGCGTTAGCCACTGGACCAGTTAGTTTTGAGACTCTCTGACCGCAGGTTCAAATCCCGCCCGTGGTATGGTTTGTTTGCAATCATGTCATTACGATTTCGTGAGTCACGTTGACGGCAGTGAGGGGACTTGAGCTAGAGTTCGTCACGGTCACGCTAGCTGGAGATTCGTCTGTAAAAACTTGCATTTGTGGTCACAGTGGTGCCTATGCTAGCCTTCCTATGCTGTAGAAATATACCTAGTTGGACGAATCTTATTGTGGCTAGCTGGTCCAGTGGCTAACGCGATGGTCTGGAGTTTTGAGACACTCTGAATGCGGGTTCAAATCCCGCCCGTGGTATGGTTTGTTTGCAATCGTGTCATTACGATTTCGTGAGTCACGTCATAGCATGCATCACAAGAAAATACCACTATTTAGCTATGCTAGAATACTGTATTCCATTCAGTGTATGCATTCCATTCAGATAGAATAATGCATTAATCCTGCTCTTGTGCACCACCTGATCCTGAACGTGGTAACTGTTATTTAACTAAGCTTTCACCTGAAGCCCGCAGTCCAACTACAACACTCAGAAGGTCTGGATTCACACCGCAGGCCACCAGTTAAGTAGCCCTGGTTTATACAGTAGTGTACTGTATATTGCAATAAAAAGAATAAAGAAAATCAACTCTAATACACATTATTTAGGTATGCATACTAGTCAGAGAGCCCGTCGTAAATCCGAGGCATCGGTAAACAAGTGCGTCGCTAAATGAGGAGAGGCTGTATTGTGCAGAGAATTCATTGTGTGGAAATTAGGAGGTGTGGAGTTACAAAAAGTATTATTCGGAGGGCTGAAGAGGTGGTTTGGTCATTTAGAGAGGATGGATCAAAACAGAACAACTTGGAGTGTGTATAAATCTGCAGTAAAGGGGAGGAGGAGTAGGGGTCATCCTAGGAAACATGGAAGGAGTGGATCAGAGGCTTTGTGTACAAGGGGCCTGGTCATGCAGCAGGCATGTGTTAGTGTGTTAGATAGGAGTGAATGGAGATGAATGGTTTTTGGGACCTGACAAGCTGTTGGAGTATGAGAAGGGTAATATTTTGTGAAGGGATTCAGGAAAACTAGTTAGCCAGACTTGAAACCTGGAGGTGGGAAGTACAATGCCTGCACTTTTAAGGAGGAGTTTGGGATATTGGCTGTTTGGAGCGACATCTAAACTGTCACATCTGGGCACCTCTGCAATGACAATGATTGTATGTAAATGTTAAGTGTTGAATGATGGTAAAGTGTTCATTTCATTTTTGGGTAACCCTGCTTTGGTGGGAGACGGCTGGCATGTTGAAAAAAAAAAATGAACACTAATGCAATGGATATTCCCTGCTGTCTCTTGAAAACATTATGAAGTTTATTTATTTATTTATTTAATAAAGCCACTTGTATGCATAGCATTACGGGCAGGCTTAAAATTAACTTAAGATTAACTAAGCAATGACGTAATCAGTGATAAAACATTGTAAACAGATAACAATAAAGCACAAATGAGTATTACAAAGACAGGTCATATGGTTGCATACATTGCTGTACATTCAGTAGAATGGAGTATTCTGTTAGGTAGTGTATTTAAAAAATAACAAAGTTAGATTGGGTCTTAGGTTTACATTTATGTGATATAATTGTCAGAAACATTTAAGTTATACAATTTATAAGGTTCAGTTATTCAGTATTTATTTGGTTTTGGGCGAGTAAGTGATCTTTGAGAAGAGACTTGAATTTATAAACAGGTAGTGTTTCTTTTATATTTACAGGTAATGAATTCCAGATTTTAGGGCCTTTAAGGTGCATTGAGTTTTTGCATAGCGTGAGATGGACACGAGGAACATCAAAGAGTGATCTGTGCCTTGTGTTATGGTCATGTGTTCTGTTGAGGTTGGCAAGGAGATGTTTGAGGGGAGGGTTAATATCAGAGTTAAGTGTTCTATGTATGTAATAGGTGCAGTAATAAGTATGGATGTTTTGTATGGTGAGTAGGTTTAGTGTTTTGAATATTGGTGGAGTGTGCTGCCTGTAGTGGGAATTTATCATCATTCTGACTGCAGCCTTTTGTTGGGTAATTAGTGGTCTGAGATGGTTAATTGTTGTTGAGCCCCATGCACAAATTCCATAGGCAAGATAGGGGTAAATAAGAGAGTGGTATTGGGCCAGGAGGGCTGACTGTGGAACATAGTACCGTATCTTCGATAGTATGCCTATGGTCTTGGGAAATTTTCTTAGAAATTTGTTGTATATGTGTATGAAATTTGAGTCTATTATCAAGGTGGATTCCTAAGAATTTTCCCTCTGTTAGCTTTGTGATAGGTGATCCGTTTATCATTATGTTAAGAGGGACATCTGTAGCTCTGTTACCAAACTGAATGAAGTAGGTTTTGTCAATGTTTAGTTTAAGTTTGTTAGTCCTCATCCAGGTAGATATTTTCTGTAATTCGGTATTTACAGTATTGGCTAGCATGACTGGGCTCAGATGAGAGAAGACGTATGTAGTGTCACCTGCAAATAGTGTGGGTTTGAGTAATTGCGAAGCATTTGGTAGGTCATTTATGTATAGGAGAAAGAAGAGGGCCAAGGACACTTCCCTGTGGGACACCAACTGTAATTGGTTGTGCGGAAGAGTTTGCCCCATTTGCATACACATATTGGCTTCTGTTGCTGAGGTATGACTTGAGGTAGTTGAGGGAGTGCCCTCTTATACCATAGTGTGACAATTTTACGTGGAGCAAGTCATGGTTAACTGTATCAAAAGCTTTACGCAAGTCAATGAAGATCCCCAGTGGGACTTCTTTTTTCTCTATTGCAGTGTATATATGTTCTAGCATGTGTATAATAGCAGCATTAGTATTTTTATTAGGCCTTAATCCAAATTGGCAGGGGTTGAGTATGTTTTGGGAGATGAGGTAGGAATAGATTTGCTTATGAATTAATTTTTTGAAGATTTTTGAGAGACGGTGTAAGTTGGATATTGGCCTATAGTTATTCAACTCTGTTTGGTCTCCTCCTTTATGGATCGGGGTGACCCTTGCTATTTTGAGAACTGTAGGGAAGGTAGAGGATTCAATGGATTTGTTAAAGAGTGTAGCAATGATTGGTGATAGCACTTGTGACACTTTTTTGTAAAGGGTGGTAAGGTATTTAAATCTCCTGCCTTGTTTTTTAGTGTGTTGATAATAAGGGAGACTTCGTATGGGTTAGTCGGAGCTAGGAACAGTGCGTTCGGGTAGTTGCCATTGAGGTAGTCATTTGGTGGGGTATCTGAGCTTGGAATTTTATTGACAAGGTTTTGTCCTATAGTGGAGAAGAAATCATTAAGTCTGTTTGCTGTTTCTGTTGGTGGGAGTTGGGGTTCATCTGATTTTGCTAATTTTATTTCGCTATTTCGTGATATCTTTTTTGTTCCTAGAATTTCTGATAGGGTTTTCCAGGTCTTTTTTATATCACCTCGTAAGTTGGATAATCTGTTCTCATAATACAATTTTTTTGCCCTTCTTATCAGGCTGGTTAAGATTGACGAGTAACGTTTTGTTTGGTCTCTGGTTATGTGGCCCATTCTGTACTGTTTTTCATATAGGTGTTTTGTATTTATGGTTGAGATGTGTGTTAGCAGATGTCTCGTCTTTAGCTGTATTGTTAGCTTTTTTAGGGCAGGCTTGTTTAGGTTGGTCTTTAGAAAATTATTAGCATTCGTCATATGTATTAGATTTTCTAGCTCAGTGTGCAGTAGTTTGTTACCGTGTTGTAGAGTTATTAGGGCTCCTTTCTATTGCTTAGATTAATTTAAGTTAATTTAGCCATCCGTCAATGCTATGCATAGTATAATGGTTTGCTCATATGCTCTTATCATGTATTTTTTGTACCTCTGTGTGTGCTCAAATTGGAATAATAATGAAATAATTAAATAAAGTCTGAAGGTGACTTTAGTAGTGTCTTGGGGTAATTTACCAAGAGTTGTTATGAGGAAAGTAGGGTAGTGGTCTGTGGTATTATCTGTGATTATGCCTGATTTTAAAGGGGATATGGTGTTGGTCCAGATGTGGTCAAGTAGGGAAACACTAGTCTCTGTAACTCTTGTAGGTTTTGTTACTGTTGATAGCAACATGCAGTTACTCATTTTGTTTGTGAATTCAGTAACGTGTGGGTCCTGGTCTTGTAGGAGATTTATATTGAAGTCATCTGAGAGTAGTAAGTGATCTTTGTTCATGCGTGCATCAGTTATACTTCCTAGGTTTTGACTAAATTGGCTAATGTTTGACTGTGGAACTCTGTAGATGTTTATCAATGTGACAGGTTTTTGTAGGTATTTGGATTTGAATTTAGCTATTATATATTCCCCATGTTCATCCCTTGTGCAAGTATTAGTGATACATTCTAGTTGGTCTGAGTAGTATATAGCTGTGCCACCCCCTTGTTGGTCTGGCCTACAGTTGTGTATGGCTGTGTAACCAGGAATGGCATAGGCATCAGTAGTATCAGGCTTTAGCCAGGTTTCATTTAGTGTAATGATGGACATATTGGCATGCAAGGAATTTAGTAATGTTATGAGGTTATCGTAATGCTTGCTTAAAGATCTGATATTGTAGTTAAAGACAGTTATGTTGTTGTTGGCTCTGAGGAGTGCCTTTGATTGTTCTGCTGTGTAGGAATTACAGTAACTGATTCATTTAAGTCATTAAATAAGAGGTTGGTATCAGGATCAATGCTTGTAATCATAAGATTTGTAGTGAATCTATAGTTAGAATTAAGTATAAAACAAAGTAAATATTCTAAAGCTAAAAAATAGCACTTGAATTATTTAACAAATGTAAAAATAACGAGCTAAGGTAGTTTTTTAAAGCTAAAATAAAGGAGACAATATAAAAGGCACTAAAATAATTTGTTGTGAACAAATAGAGTGATGATCAAATAATGGAGCTTGGGAATATGATAGTAGGTAGTACTTTAAAGGTAATTCTTTAAAGTTAGAATTAGGGAAAACAATATAAAAGGGACTAATATAAGTTGTGGTTAATTCATATTTAGTGTACAGTACATACCTATTGGAGTGGGTTGCCTATCAAATGGGCAATGAATATTGTTGTCATGTGTAGGTAGCCGAAGAAGGCAGGCATGGCATAGTGTGTGGCCACAAAACAAAAGGCGGGGCACTTTATCTCCTCCCAGACTAAACCCATCCTCACACACTCGGCATTCTAACTGTTAAAAGGAAAAAAATGCCGTACATGACAAATACCAAAAATTTTACATTAGTTTAAATTCACATTGCAGCTAATAATTACAAACTTTGTCAAAAAACTAACATAGTAATTAAGTAGCAGTTTACTGCTGACTTCAATTTTAGCTCTGATACAACATTAGGAACTCAAATGGTACACTGTATTCCAACAGTTCACAAGTATACCGAGACACCACACTGTACTAATATAAGACCAAGATTCTAACACAAGAAAGCTTACTGATAATGACAAGAAATCTGTTTTATTTTAAACAATTATTTCCTGTGTGTTTTAAAAATACACAAAATCAAAGAAAATAATCAGAACACCTGAGGCAAGCAAATTATGCAAGACGAGTCATTAGAATCATGGTTCACAAAAAAGTGGACACCTTACAGCCAGCAAGTTTATTTAGGCATGGATGTACATAGTACAAATATCATACACTGTAGGTGTCCCGTAGCTCAATCATTAGCACACGCAGCTCACACACTGAGGTCTGGAGTTCAAATCTCTAGTATGGCTAGAAAACATTAGGGATGTGTTTCCGTAAGTTTCTTACTGTCCCTGTTCACTCATCAGTATAAAATGGGTACCTGGGTGTTAGTCGACTGGTGTGGGTCACATCCTGGGATAAAACTGCCCTAATTTGCCTGAAATGCTCAGCATAACAAGAGGCTTTTTATATATAGTAGTACATATATCGTTGATGTCAGCTAGGCCTGTATACCTTGTACATGTACTTAAAAGATGTTTATTTTGACAAATTACATAGTTGTATAGAGGAATATAATAGTTGGGTGTACATGCCAAAAGCCCCTTTATATGCAGAGCATTTTGGGCAAACTTAAAATTAACTTAAGATTAGTAAGGCAATAATACATAGTTCATATGGTCATTAGACGAGTTACAGTAACTACAGGAGAATTGCATATTCTATCAGGTAATGTTACACAGTTTTCATAAAGATTACAGTATTACAATATAACAATTTAAAACAATTTACAGTATGACGTATTACAGTTTAGTACTATTTAAAGCAATGATATTTGGTATTACAATGGAACAGTTTACATTATGATTACTGTATTACAATCTACTACTATTTAAAACGATGAAAAAATAGACATCCAAATTTCGAAGTAGTAAGTTGAGCATTCATCAGCAAAATATGAGTAGCTTTTGAGAAACTGATAGTGATTAGGTACAGTTTAAGTTTAGGTGATGAGGTGAGTTTTTATTAGGGCCTTAAAATGATTTGCAGACAGAGGTCCTTCAGTGTGTTTTGGCAACGAATTCCAGATATTCGGGCCTCTTATGTGCATAGCATTTTTGCATAGGGAGAGATGAACATGAGGGATATCAAAGAGTGATCTGTGTCTCATATTATGGTTGTGTGTTCTGTTATAGTTATCAAGGAAGATTCTGAAAGGTTTACATTAGAGTACAGTGGACCCCCGCATAACGATGGCATCGCATAGCGATTTTTCCGCATAACGATTACTTTTATCGCAAAATTTTTGCCCCGCATACCGATTAAAAACCCGCATACCGATTTTCGTCCGAGACGCGTCCAATGTGCCCTCACATGTGCCGGCCGTCCCATTGTTTACCAGCCAGCCTCCGCGGTAACATCCAAGCATACACTCGGAATATTTCGTATTATTACAGTGTTTTCGGTGGTGTTTCTGGAAAATAAGTGACCATGGGCCCCAAGAAAGCTTCTAGTGCCAACCCTGTGGTAAAAAGGGTGAGAATTAGTATGGAAATTAAGAAAGATTTTGAAGGGTTTGGGGCTAACCCTGAGAAGCCTATGCCAGTTGTGGAATCCATTGTGCCTACTTCAAAGATTAAGGAAATGTGTGCAGAGTGGTTTGAACTGCAAACCTTTATAGATGAAAATCACCCTGACACAGCTGTTGCAAGCCGTGCTTGTGACTATTTCAATGACAATGTTATGGCCCATTTTAGGAAAGTCTTGAAGAAACGGGAGTACAGAGCTCTATGGACAGATTTGTTGTGCGACAGAGGTCCAGTGACTCTGAAGCTGGTCCTAGTGGCATTAAAAGAAGAAGGGAAGTAACCCCAGAAAAGGACTTGCTACCTCAAGTCCTAATGGAAGGGGATTCCCCTTCTAAACAGTAAGAAGATAATGCTCTCCCCTCCTCCCATCCCATCAATCATCACCAGATCTTCAATAAAAGTAAGTGTCATGTAATTGTGCATGCCTTTTTCAGTTTGTGTGTATTAAAATTAACATTTCATGTGGTAAAAAAAATTTTTTTTCATACTTTTGGGCGTCTTGCACGGATTAATTTTATTTCCATTATTTCTTATGGGGAAAATTAATTCGCATAACGATTATTTCGCATAACGATGAGCCCTCTTGCACGGATTAAAATCGTTAACCGGGGGTCCACTGTATAGTGTTCTGTGTATGTAGTAGGCACAATAATAAGTGTGGATGTTTTGTATATTTATAAAGTTAAGACTCTTGAAAAGAGGTGGAGTGCGTTGTTTAATGCAGGAGTTAGTAATCAATCGCACTGTGGCTTTTTGCTGGGTTGCTTAGTTAATCTTAAGTTAATTTTAAGCCTGCCCATAATGCTCTGCATACAAGGGGGCTTTGGCATGTTACACTGAACCACTGTATTTCTTTGTACTTCTATGTATCATGTTCAAATAAATAAATAAATAAATAAATAAATAAAATAAATATTAAAGGCTTAAAGTGATTTGTTGTGGTTGAGCCCCACTCACAAATACCATAGGTGAGGTAAGGGTAAATGAGAGTGATACAAAGCTAAAAGAGCTGATTGGGGTACATAGTACTGTATCTTTGAAATAAAGATGAATATTATTATTAATTATTATTATTATTATTATTACTGCAATATAATCACAAACAGATCTTAATGCAGAACAAGCCATGTAGGGATGGAAATCTTTAGTTCAAGATCTTTCACACACTGTGCATCATCAGGAGCTATGCAGTGTTGCAGGATTAGCAACAGATAGTAGATGACCTGTAGCTCAGGGACAACTTAGCTCACATCTATAAGGATGTGAGCTACTGTGATAATGTTTTATTTCTCTAGTTACATGTATTGATACAACAGTTGATACAAAAGAAGGCCACTAATTATGAAATGAATTTCAGGCATTTCCTTACACCTGTTTATCTAACTTTAATAGATACTAAAGTGCTAGTCAACTGAGAGCTGTATCTCAGTGGGGAGCCCCAGTGAAAATAAACTGCAATAATATCCAGCAAAGTAGCTGACTTGGTAAATCACCGTCAGCGAGACGGTCAGGCAGATTGTTCCAACATAACCATAAATTGTTTAACAACAGTTTATGCATAATGTTAAGTTAGGTTAGTGATTGTTGAGCTTTACTAAATTTGCACATGGAAAACTTTTTGCCAGCAGGAAAATATAAAATTTCTGACTAATCACTGACTTGGTAGCCATTCGTGAAATCACCAGCATTCATCACATTATGTGGCTTGAATAATATGTCGTAATTAAAAACAAATAAAAAAACTTTGTCCATGTCTGCAGATTCACCTGCCAGGGGGAAAAAAATAGCTTTTACTTTTCTGGGTTGTCCTAGGTAACTTACACTTGTTAAACTATATATTATGAACTATAAAAAATAACTTTATATACATTATATATACATATTTCGAACATACCTAAAACATAACAATATTGTTGCTAATATATAGTGAAACTCCACCACATCTCCAAGAGGGAAGAAACATTTACAGTTACACTAAATACAATTTTAACACAATCACATTATATATGGTAATTGTATTTATGTGTACCTGGACCTGCAAACACAGTACATGATTAGGTAATTTAACGATCAATATGACTGTATGATCAACATGGTGACTAATACCTCAGATTTAACATACACAATGATCACAAACACATAAATACCTACATAATTATACAACTACACCGGAGATACACAAGACAAAATGTAATTTCTGGTCAGAACGGGAGATCCTGTAAAGGTTCAAATGTACTTACATTATTGCCGTACTTGTTAGCAGCAGTCTGAGGTGTGTTGAAGGTGTGGAAGGACTGTGACCTGGACAAAGAAGCTGACATTAAAGCTTCATCAGCCATTATGTAGCTGCAGTAACCTACGCGCACACACACCTCTACCAAGGTATCATCTCCCACTTACTGCTCTACTCACTTTAAAATTTGGGAAGTAATTGATTTACGAGCAGATATATATAAGTAAAATGATCACACATAGTGGGAGTTACCTAGGATAACCCAATGAAGTCAAAGTGACTTATTTCCACTGAGGGTCCTTGAAAAAATGTGGAACCCTTCACTATTTTGTGACACGCAGTTTAATTGTTGTACTAATTAATTTATTTCCTCGATTTATATTAAAATGAATAACTCAGGAGGCGCAGGTTTTACGAGTACTTGTACGACACCAAATAAAAAAATACAAAGACTCTAGGTCTCTCAAGAGAGGTTCCTTGACGCTATTGAGAGGCTCTTGATCTAGGGAATTGGATCTGTGTTCCGGTTCCCTGAATTAAGACTGAATTCAATTCAAATTCAAATTCAAAGTTTATTCTCTATAAGGATTACAATGTTGATTTTACAGAAATTTGGTTATTGTTTGGTTTACATGTAGTAAAATTGTGATTACAGAGTGTACCACTAGAACGCTTAGCATGGCTAGGCATTTCGGGCAGACTTAGTTTTATTCTTAATTGTAAAATATTACAAATTATGAGGTAAGTTGGTATTATGGCTAAGTGACTAAATACTAGTTTGTGAGTTTAGCAATGTGAATGCTTTTGTTTTGGCACTGTACATAGTTTCAGTATTGGAGTATCACAGGATTAAATTATTTAAGATTGAGATTAATATTTCTGTTTATGGTCAGATGAGTGAGTGTAAGTGTAAACCCACCAGTGGTATTCGTGTAGTTAGTTGATGGGGTGTATCAGGGGTAAGATGTTTTCTAATGGTAGTTTTGAAGGTGATAAAATGTGTCTGCAGTTCTAGAGTTCTCGGTAGGGTGTTCCAGATTTTAGGGCCTTTGACATACATTGAATTTTTGTAAAGGTTTAGTCGGAACGGGGAATGTCGTAGAGATGTTTGTGTCTGGTGTTTTAAAGCCTGTGGGTTCTGTCACAACTATGAAGAAAGCGTTTAGGTCAAGGTTGTATTAGAGTTTAAGGCCCTGTAGATGTAGATTGCACAGTAGTAAGTGTGGATGTACTGAACAGGAGTAAGTTTAGGTCTATGAAGAGTGGGGGGGTGTGTTGCCAGGGATGGATTTAGTGATTATTCTTACTGCAGCTTTTGTTGAGTTATTATTGGCTTTAGGTGTATTGCTGTAGTTGATCCCCAAGCACAAATAGCATAGGTGAGGTATGGGGTAAATAAGTGAGTGGGGATAGTGTGAGGGAAGGGGGATTTTGTGGCACGTAGTATCGTTTTCTTGGAGAGGATCCCAACCGTTTTGGTACTTTTTTGGTTATATGCTGGTATGGGTGCTGAAATTCAGGTTGTTGTCAAGGTATAAGCCTAGGAATTTGCCCCCATTATTTCTGGTAATTAGCGTGTTGTCAATCTTAATGTTAATTTGTGCATCTCTTGCTCTGCTACCAAACATAAATAGTAGGTTTTGTCAGTGTTAAGCGTAAGTTTATTGGCTGTCATCCAAGTCGATTTTTAATCAGCTCCTCATTCACAATGGTGTTGAGGGTGGCAAGATTAGGGGGAGGATGACATAAGTCGTGTCATCAGCAAGAGAATGGGTTTCAGGGGTTGGGATACGTTTGGAAGGTCATTGATGTATATGAGGAAGAGCAGGGGACCAAAGGACCACCCTGCGGAACTCCAGTTTTCAATTGGCCGTGTTGCTGATGCTGTGTCTTTAATGGTGACATACTGATACCTATTAGTAATGTAAGATTTGAAATAAGCAAGTGCATGGCCTCTTATACCGTAATGGATCAAGTTTGTGGAGAAGGATGTCGTGGTCTACTGTGTCAAAAGCTTTTCTTAGGTCAATAAAAATTCCTAGTGGATATTCCCTTTTTTTCCAATGCTGTGTACCGCAGGTCTAGCATTTTTATGATTGCATCTTAGTGCTTTTATTTTTCCTGAATCCAAATGGCAGGGGTTGAGTATGTTTTGAGCCGTTATAAATGAATACAGTCCCTGTGCACGAGTTTCTCAAAGATTTTTGATAGCAATGGTAAATTAGATATTGGCCTATAGTTGTTTAAGTCTGTAGGGTCACCACCTTTATGTATTGGTGTAACCCTTGCCATCTTGAGTAGTTTCGGGAAGGTGCTAGTCTCTAGTGACTTGTTAAAAAGTAATGAAATAGCATGCGAAAGGACATGGGCCGCTCGCTTGTACAGTAATGGTGGGACATGAGACAGATTCCCCGAGTTATTTTTAAGTGACTTTATAATCTCGGTGACTTCCATGGGCTCAGTTGGTGCAAGATAGAAGGAATTAGGGAAATTCCCATCTAGGTAGTCCCCATTTATGGACACTCTCTGCTTCCTGTCTGTGGGATTTTGTTAGGTAAGACACATATGCAACAGTTAGGTATCTTTATTATGAAACGTTTCGCCTACACAGTAGGCTTCTTCAGTCGAGTACAACTTCCACTAGTGAGAGCGGCTGGATTTGAGAGGGACCTGACCTCTCAACATCTGAGTTCTTACCTCTTCTAGTGACCTACGTCTCACCTCTTGGCAATATATAAGGCTCCCTCCTGTCACTTCATCTCCATATTGTTTCATACTATGGAACAATGCTCTTCTCCAGACTGAGGGACTGACCACCTCAAAACTTTAAGGGTGATGGACTGATTACATCGTCTTCAAGTATCTTCTGCTTCTTTCAACTTTTCTGTACTCGTTGTTTTTCTGTACTCGACTGAAGAAGCCTACTGTGTAGGCGAAACGTTTCATAATAAAGATACCTAACTGTTGCATATGTGTCTTACCTAACAACCTGTCGGTATTTTATACCATTTTAATGTTCAATGTGGGATTTTACTGGCGAGATTAGATCCTATGGTTGAGAAGAAGTCGTTTATCTTGTTAGCTGTGTCAGTGGGATGTAGTGGTGTTTCATTAGGTTTAGTTAGGACAATATTCTTGGTTTTTCTCAGTTTGTGGGTCCCTAGAATCTGAGAGAGTGTTTTCCAGGTCTTTTTTATATCTCCTCTAGTGTCTGTGAATCTACTGGAGTAGTATAGTTGTTTGGCTTTCTTTATTACTTTGGTGAGAGCTGATGAATAGTGTTTAAGAATATCTTTGTGTATTAAGCCCTGTCTATATTGCTTTTATATTGGTGTTTCTTGTCAATGGATTTCAGAATGGTGCTGGTTAGCCATGGGCAACCATGCCGTTTGTTTATGATCTGTTTTGTTTTTATAGGACAATGTTTGTTGTATAGTCTAAGTAATTTGTTAAGAAAAATGTCTGTCCAGTCATAAATACCATTGGCCTTGGAGAATTCTGTAGGCCAGTCAACAGTCTCTAGGTCAGCTGTGAACTTCCTTACTGGGGCCCTTTCGTCATGGAGTCTAAATGGGACTTTGTTGTATTCAAGTGGGGGTTTACTAATGTTTGTCAGGGGAAGGTAGGGTAGTGGTCTGTAGTGCTATCTGTGATTATCCCTGATTTAAGGGGGCTAGTATATTGGTCCATATGTGGTTATTATGGTTGCACTTGTCTCAGTGAGCCTGGTTGGTTTAGTTATTGTTGGTATGAGAAGTGTGTTGTTCATATTGTTGATGAAGTCAGTTACAGGCTGATCATCTAGTAAGCCAAGGTTGATGTTGAAGTCTCCAGCTAAGAGAAGGTGGTGCTTATTCATTTGTCTGTTTGTTATTAGTGATTTTAAATTTCTCACTGAAATTTGGATGTTTGTGTGAGGTATCCGGTAAATGGCACCGATTGTTATAGGCGTCATAAGGTTTTTTACAGTAAAATTAGCAATAATGTATTCCCCATATTCATCACTAAAGCAAGTGGTGCTAAGACAAGATAATTGGTTAGAGTAATAGATTGCAATACCACCCCCAACTTGGTTTGTTCTGCAGTTGTGAATTGCTGTGTATCCTGGTAGAGGGTAGATATCTATTGTGTCCTGCTTAACCAAGGTCTCAGTAAGAATAATGTAGGAGAAGGGTGTCTTTAGTGATTCAAGGAGTGCTAAGAGGTCATCATAGTGTTTGCTTAAGGACCTGATGTTGTAGTTAATTACTGATGGGACTTTTAGCATTGTTTAGGATAGTGCTGGCTTGTGATGCTGTGTAATAAAGGCAGTTACGTTCCAATAGGTTTTGATTGGGTGTCAGATTATGGAGGTTTAGATCAGGGTCAACGTGATAATCATCTTCTAGGTTTAAATTATGGTTATTTTTTATCCCGAGTTGTGTGTTGAGTTTAGTACTGATATCTGTAGTGGTAGGAAGTTTGGACAGTTTACCCGGAGTTTACCTGGAGAGAGTTTCGGGGGTCAACGCCCCGCGGCCGGTCTGTGACCAGGCCTCTGGTGGATCAGCGCCTGATCAACCAGGCTGTTGCTGCTGGCTGCACGCAAACCAACGTACGAGCCACAGCCCGGCTGATCAGGAAAATGACTTTAGGTGCTTGTCCAGTGCCCGCTTGAAGACTGCCAGGGGTCTGTTGGTAATCCCCTTTTGTGTGCTGGGAGGCAGTTGAACAGTCTCGGGCCCCCGACACTTATTGTATGGTCTCTTAACGTGTAGGACACCCCTGCTATTATTGGGGGGATGGTGCATCGTCTGCCAAGTCTTTTGCTTTCGTAGTGAGTGATTTTCGTGTGCAAGTTCGGTACTAGTCCCTCAGGTTTTTTCCAGGTGTATATAATCATGTATCTCTCCCTCCTGCGTTCCAGGGAATACAGGTTTAGAAACCTCAAGCGCTCCAGTAATTGAGGTGTTTATCTCCGTTATGCGCGCCGTGAAAGTTTCTCTGTACATTTTCTAGGTCGGCAATTTCACCTGCTTGAAGGTGCTGTTAGAGTGCAGCAATATTCCAGCCTAGATAGAACAAGTGACCTGAAGGTGTCATCATGGCTTGGCCTCCTAGTTTGAAGGTTCTCATTATCCATCCTGTCATTTTTCTAGCAGATGCGATTGATACAATGTTATGGTCCTTGAAGGTGAGATCCTCCGACATAATCACTCCCAGGTCTTTGACGTTGGTGTTTCGCTCTATTTCGTGGCCAGAATTTGTTTTGTACTCTGATGAAGATTTAATTTCCTCATGTTTACCATATCTGAGTAATTGAAATTTCTCATCGTTGAACTTCATATTGTTTTCTGCAGCCCACTGAAAGATTTGGTTGATGTCGCCTGGAGCCTTGCAGTGTCTGCAATGGAAGACACTGTCATGCAGATTCGGGTGTCATCTGCAAAGGAAGACACGGTGCTGTGGCTGACATCCTTGTCTATGTCGGATATGAGGATGAGGAACAAGATGGG